TCTACCAGAGCTCATATTTCAATTTTCGTTGTTATTATTGCTTTTCTCTGGCACTCCTTATTACTGGTTTTCATATTGTATTCATTTCTATGCTTGGTCGGCTCAGGAGATTTTTGTGGCCTAACATATGTGCTGATTCCTTAAGTTTACAAATTTTCCAATGATGTTCTATATCTATGATTTCAACCTGATCCCACAGAGGACAGTGATTTCCCTTTTCTCTCCATATATGGTCAGTCATAGTTATATATATATATATATATATATATATATATATATATATATATTGTGTATTTGGGCAGAATGAGAATGTTATTTTGATTTCCGAACACGGTCAGCAGATAGATAGATTGTATAAGGCTTTTCTACGTCACGAGAAAAAGCCACTCCATAGCTTAATTGCCTTTTATTTTAACTTGAATAAATACGCACTTCACTTATTTAGAGGTCAATGCGCTAGAAATATTCTTGATTAAATTTTTAAATTGTGAATGACTCAGAAAATAAACGTTTGAAGTATGATATATTTAAATATATGTTACGTATTAAATTTTTTTTTCATTAATTACTGAAAGATCTTGTTTACAGACTCAAACCAAAAAAAATTCCTAAATTAAAACAAGAAATTTCTGATAGATTTTCTGAAATTAATGTAGAAATGTGTTAAATGGTTTGTAGAAGTCCTGGTGATAGGATTCTGCATTATATTGGTCATTAAGGAGAGCATTTTGAACATTTTAAATAGTTTGTTAATCATAATAAATCATGTTGTCTTGAAGTGACAATACTCGTATTTACAAAACGGAAGGGCCAGACGGAATTGTAATAGAGATGCTGGCAGCGTTAGATGACTTTGGTATAGACAAGATTTCAGAAATTTTCTACAACAGTGGCGATATACCGGAAGACACTTAGTAGATCTATTTCCATAGCATAGAAATCAAGTGCAAACGAATATTAACTCCCTCCATCGGACAATTAGCCGAATGAGCATTATAGCAAAACTTATCCAGAGCGCGCAATAAAATTAGACGGGAAATAAGAAATAAGAACAATGCGTGTTCGTCAATGACACTGGAACAAAGAACGTGATATTTATGCTCAGAATGTGTTTTATACATTCGATAAAGTGCGCCACAAAGATCTTGACATATTTGGGAGGGATATTAGAATAATCAAGAACCTATACTGTCAGCCAACCGCCTGCATATAGGATAGAAAAGTAATTCTGTAGATATACAAAAATAAAAACGGGTGTAAGACAAGGATGTGCATTCTCGTCCCACATTCAACCTATAGAGAGTGGGTGAGGGGAATTTTTGTCCCTGCCCGGGTGTACGCGCTCGGGTCCCCACATTAATCCGACCTTGTGTCATAACTCATTCTCGTGAAGGAATGGGTAAATACCAGAAAGAATTAAACATCAACTGCGAAAAGACAGAATGCATGGTTGTTAGCAAAAGGGGCGAGCCCAAAATACAAATTACAAATCAGAGATACCAAAATCAAACAAATACAAAAAAATAAATCTTTGGGAAGTGTTTTAATAGAGGACAGAATGTGCGATATTGAAATCCGAAGGTGTATTGAGATAGCCAAAGATGTATTCCAAAAGCTAAGCAGAGTATTAAGAAACAGAAAAATTCGTTATAAACAAATAAAAGAGTACTGAACTGTTACGTGATATATGTCCTTTTATATGGTAGTGAATGCTGGGCAACCTCCTCAAAGATAAAGAGACTTGAAGAAACAGAAATTTAGTTCTACAGAAAGATGCTGAGGATACTATGGGCAGAATATGTGAGTAACGAAGAAGTTCTATAGAAAGTAGAAACAAAAAGTACACTTATACTTAACATCCGGAAAAGACAGTTGAAATTTATAGAGTGCATAATGAGGAAAAACGGCTGGGAAAATTTGATACTCATAGAACAGATTGAAGGCAAGAGGAACAAAGGAAAACAACGTACAGCATATTCAGTGAGATTGACTAAATGGATGGCGGAATGATAACAAAAAGACAAAATTTATTAAGAGCTACAAAGGACAAGAGAAATTGAGGAGAGCCATGATCGCCTACGTCCTGGGTGGGGGACACGGCGCATGAAGAAGAAACTACAGTAATTTATGTTAGTTCGATAAAAGTTAATAAATAAAAAGAGTGTTACTTTTGACGCACTCTGTATGTCATTGATGTTATATTAAGTCCTTACAATTAAAGAAGGTTTTCACGTGTCTATCTTTAAATAAGACGCCATACAATGGAATTTAAGATGAAAGAAATACTAATTAAGAATTGATATTCATTTCTCTCTCTCTCTCTCTCTCTCTCTCTCTCTTTAGAGAAAAGAAAGAAAAGGAATAATTAGAGAGTATAAGTAGACAAGAAAATTATGAAAAGAAAAAATATCCATGGCATCCTACACATGTGCACATACACACGTACATTCACACTCACATACACACACAAAAAAGAAAAAAAAAAAAAAAAAAAAAAACAACCGAACACCAATAAAAAAGCGCATAAATCTTTTTTCTAACTTAATAAAAATAATAAAAATGAGAAAATCGACAGACAATTGCTGATATCTCCTGACGAGTGGACCGAATAATTACAGAAATGTTTGCCTACGAAACTCTGTAGTCGAAACGGTAAATATAACATCAATCAACTAATTGACAAATTTCATATTTGTATCGATCTTATATATATATATATATATATATATATATACACACACACACTTTACGAAATATTTTCCCTAAAGAGAGTTACTGAAAGAACTTGTTGTACGGCCTTAAGAAGTAAGTGTAGATTATGAGGATATGTAGAATAGATAACGGTTGAACTTAGACTTGAAGAGGTTAAGATTAGAGCGATTGAGGAAGTATCCTCTCGGGAGTCCACAAAGTAGCGGTTCACGGGAAGAAGCTATCTGAATAGAATACTCTGTTTGTATATTTTGTCTGTAATGTCCGTAATTTTCTGGTGTATTCGTGTTGTATCTCTGACACTGACCATCTTTGTTATAAAAACGGTGAACTGTTTGCGGAGCTAGAGAGTGAAAAGACTAAATCTGTGAAAGTGAAGAGTACAACATTCATAATAGAAAAATATATTTAAAGGCTCACAGGAGAAAACATCAATAGAGACTTAAGAAAATATCAATGTGCCATTATTTTTGTTGGCATTGGTAAACTAGTCTAATATTAAAATTCAAGAGAATATTAATAAGAAAACAAGTTCCACGTGAATTTTCAAAAACGAACATTACTTTTTCAACACTTGACTTCTTTTTTTTGGTCGACGAATGAAATATATAATTCTATATAAGATATTAAGTGACAATGAAAATTGGATTTTACTGAAAATCCAGAAAGAAAACAAATCGTGACTAGGTTCAAGACAGCTTTCAAAATCTCAATCTAAAGAGAATCTACTGAAGTAAAAACTTCTCCGTGTTTAGTAAAAGGCAAAAGGAATTGTAATAAATTACTGGGATCTAGATAAAGTTACTTCAATGCTTCAGTAAGTAACTGGCACATTTGAATGATGAGTTAGAACGAAAGAAAAATGCTTTTTCTTGTCAACGAATCGATCGAGAACTTTGCTTCTTGAAAAAGTCTGACCTTGAATTGTAAAGCTAACACATGTTCGGTCCATGCAGAGAATACCATGGACCGAACATGTGAGCAACGACGAAATTTTAAAGAAAATCGAAACAAAACGTACTCTTAGGCTTAACACCAGGAAGAGACAGTTGAAATTTCTGGGGCACATAATGAGGAAAGAGGGCTTGAAAAATTTGATACTTACAGGACAAATTGAAGTCAAGAGACAGAGAAGAACAATGCATAACATTCCTAGCGTGATTAAGTAAATGGATGGCGGAGCAAAGTTTAGGAGAGATAACAAAAAGACAAAATTTATTAAGAGTTACAAAAAAGAGGAAATTGTGGAGAGCTATGATCTCCAACGTCCTGAATGGGCATAGCACATAAAAGAACAAACAATAATGGAGCCTCGATGGGAAGTTTTCTACATTCAGATCATATTTAGATTAACATTTTCAATTCCGTTAACACTCATTGTATGGTCAAACGCTCCAAGTTCAAGATGTCGAAGAGGTTATTGAATAAAATAATAATGCAAAAAAAAAAAAGAAAAACAACAAAAATGTGTTCTTTTATGCTTTTATTGTATTGAAATTTAACATTAAACCAAAAAAAGTAGCAAAAATGATTACGGTGTAATGATGCTACGAATTTAGTTTTAAAAGTTGGATATTTTTTTATCAACCGAAGATTTGAGGAAAAAAGATTACCAACCCTTTTTCCCCCAGTTTCTTCAAAACAGACTAGCAAAATATTCTTTTAAGTGGACGGTGTAAAAAATAAATAAATAAATAAATAAATAAAACAAAATCAATTATACCCGAAAGATATAAATATTTATTTAGTACACGTCTGTGCTTGCTTTTTTTTTTTTAATCAAGTACCGATAGTTTAGATTTGTGGTAAACAGAAACCAACAATGCAATCACTAGGTGATATAAATTAAAATGATAAATATTCCAAGGTTTTCGATATCTGATCTCATTTGAATGAATAGAAACCTAATTTTATATGCGTCTCTTTTGAGTTCCTTCATGTTTGTGACCACGTCATATTTACTGCTTTTTCTGCAGATGTGCTCCCCCCTTATAAATGCAAGATCTTATGTGCATACTGATGTATCTCCGCATGTGTGTGCATGCACCTGTATATATAAACATATAGATGGATAATTTGGTTTTGCGCACTCGTGTAGCAATGTGCAGTTCACGTAATGGATATCGGCGCGAAAAGTCGAATCGGCGGCCAAAGTTCATATTCCAGTTGAGTCCATTGCATACCTTCGTATTAATGCCCCTGGGAAAGTTATGAATCCACCTCTCCCTGCTCCATCTATGCGTCAAATAACAGAGGAAAAAATGGCTTCTCTAGCCTGGGAAGAAGGCTTACGGCCTTATCACGTTGAAACACCGGTTCGCATACGAGCACTGAAGTTAAACAAAATCGAGCCTGGTCAGTACCTAGATGAGTGATCACTTGGGAATGCTAGGTGCAGTAATCTTGGATGTGCGGGTGGTGTAATGGATAACGGTTTTGAATTGAAAATCGGATGGCTGAGTTCCAATTCCAGTTGGGTTCGTTACATTCATTTTTCGCGCAAATACCTTTTGGGAAAGGTATGAAGGTACAACTCTTCTTCCTCCAGGTATGATTGTATTAGTAAATCATTATTATTTCCCCCAAAATTCTAAAAATATTTTCTGGCTTTAAATAACCTGTAAAAGCTTGATAAGTCGTAAAAAAAAAAGTTCATTCTAGCCTTGGATGGTTGTCAGTCTAAAAAAAGCAAAACGTTGAAGTAAAACCAAATGTGTATGCTGACATCGTTTCAAGGTTGACAACTGTTCGACTCTCGGCTTTTAGCTTCTTTGGCTGGACATACAACTATTCTCCATCATTAGAAACGCCTACGGCCCTGTTTAAAGGTTTATGACATTTTGTACTACAGGGATGTATATGTGCTAAAACTATTATAAAAATGGTTGAGTGTTTACTGCATCATATGCTCATTTATGTTCGTGTACATATATAATTTTATATTGAAAGGGTTTGCTTGCAAGCAAACGAAAGAACTTTTAAAACCACTTAAGAGCTTTTAAAACCATTTAAGTTTTTCCTATTTTTTCTTTTTATATAAAAATGTTGGCTTGCTATGAAAAGTTTTTAAGCAAAAATTATAAAATTTTAAAACAAATGTTTTCCAGTTGCCTTTAATGTAAAAAAAAAAAAAACCAAAAAAAAACCTCCATAAACTCCAGAAACTACTAGTAGTTCTGAACGCGATGCATTCTTGCTATAAAAATGATGCAGTTAAAACAATCAACGCAAAACTATTGCAACAGGTTTCTAACGAGGTTCAGCTGTTTAAGCCAACTGATGCAATACTAAGTGCATCCATGGTTGTTCAAAACGCACCCATCATTATCTCTCTTGACTTGCTAGCTGTTTCTTTTTCACAATAGATCTCGCCTTGATGTCAAGCAGTTTTTTCCCGCATACCATCAAAGCAAGTATCCTAAGTGAAGAAGATAAAAATTAATGTGTACATTCCCTGTATCCCCATAATTCTAAAAGACTTGTTCTTTGAATTAAAATGTCTTCAATTCCCAGTGACACCCAGCTATGTCATTGCCATCAAGAAGAATAATTTCTCAAAATCTTTGACTTCAGCCATACTTGTCCCTGCTTTTTAAGCCTGCATTCCTAAACAACCTTTTCATATCGATACCCAGTGGGAGAAACCCTGTCAGCATTGTGTTGTTTGTTTTGTGTATCAATATTTTTCAGTACCATAGTTTTTCTATGTAAAATTAATATTTTCATTTGTGACTTGAAGAAAGACACTAAAGGATATATTTTTCATTGTGATACTTAAAGTTATTTTCCCCTAGGAAGCATCGAATATTTGTTATACACACACACACACACACACACACACACATATATATATATATATATATATATATATATATATATATATATATATATATATATATATATGTATGTATGATGATAACGATATATATTTTTATATACCAAGAACAATATTGGGGAAAAAATGTATGACAGTGGAAAACGTTTTTTCATTTTTTTTTTTTTGACGCGTTTCGACCTTTAGGACTTCATCAGAATAAATTTGTTATGTTGGAGTGACTGCATATGATATATGAAGAATGCAATATAAAGAATGCAATGTTTTTATAAAAAAATAGATAGAAAAAAGAAGTTGAAAATGCAGCTGGAGTCTTTAAAAATATTTATTTAGGGTAACTTTACCGGTTTCACAGTTCTATATTTTTCAAAAGTTAAATTGAGATCTAGAGACGTGTGGCTATGATGTAACGTAGATTCTATCTGTCTTTTCTATAAATACTTTAGTGGTAATTGTTCTGATGAACTTTCCTCTATGGTACCTAGACTTAATGAATTTAAGCGCAGTACTAGATTGGCAGCAAGCTCTCATTAATTTAGAGTTGAAATGGCAAGAGATGTAAACCGTAAGTTCTATGCTAACAGTTTCTTCTATCACACTTCTCACTTGTGAAAGTCTCTTCCAGTTTCTTACTTCACAGTCAACTTTGATCGTCAAACATTTAACAATGTCAATCGTTATCTTTTGTCTTTTTTATTCTTGTTCTTTTATTGTTCTCTCTCCTTAATAGTAGTTTTTCTCACATTCTCTAACACTCAGTAACCCCTTGCATCTTAGTGGCTTAATTGGCTTGCTTAGGGTGAAATGATTTTTTTTTAAATTAAATTTTTTTTAATTTGTATAGGATCGAGTGACAACTTCATGAAAAACATTACATTATCGATTAAAGAAATAATCATTTTCAATTTAACATCGGTTTATTATTAAAAAAAAATACCCCCTACGATTAATAATAATTATTTTTTTACTAGTATCTGTTTCATCTATGATATTTAAATAATATTGCAGTGTCATATAGCGTATAAAGAATGCCATGTTTTTTTTATAAAAAAAAACTGGAAGCAGTTTACGTCTAGAGTAAAAAAAAACTGGAAGCAGTTTACGTCTAGAGTAAAAAAAAACTGGAAGCAATTTACGCCTAGACGTAAACTTCTTCCACTTTTCACTCGTGCGATCCTCAAAGGCATAACAAAACTACAAGAAAATATTTCTTTTTCCAATAAAATAAACTTTTCGCTATTTACTTTCAAACGAAAAATATAATGCCGTTCATTTTGTTAGAAATCAAACATTAAAGGAATTTATTTTTCGCGTCAAATGAAATAATAAGCAAAAACCTGAGAAAATTGTGAACAAGGAAAATCCAATTTTTTTACTCCATCAGTAGTCCTAGCATAGAAATGAACACCATTTTACTCCATCAGTAGTCCTAGCATAGAAATGAACACCATTTTACTCCATCAGTAGTCCTAGCATAGAAATGAACACCATTTTACTCCATCAGTAGTCCTAGCATAGAAATCAAGTCCTACCATTTTACTCCATCAGTAGTCCTAGCATAGAAATGAACACCATTTTACTCCATCAGTAGTCCTAGCATAGAAATGAACACCATATGGAAGCCTTTAATTAATAAGGAACATTAGGATTAAAACTCTAAAATGAGAATATTTTAAACCATGTTCGAAATTCCCAGAAGTTTATTAACTGCAGCAATTACCCGAAGAAATCTGGAGGGTAAAATAAGTCAAAAAGTTATGACTAAAACAAACAAGATGCGCTAACAAGTCCGAGTAAATGATGTTAATTCCTTCTATCAAATCATACACATTTTTATTACTAGTATTTCATAATTTTTGTATCTATTTGCTTCCATAGTTTCAAGAATATTTGTTTTTGTTTTGTTACTAGTATCTTTTTGGCACTTAAAACAATTCAGTGAAAGATAACAAATACTGTAATCACTAGTCTGATAATATTAATTGAATTATTTTTTTCAGTTTACCTGAAACACCTCGACAATGGAAATAAATGTTATCTCCAATAATTCACCTCAACTATCACCCTGTGTTCAACAATAAACAACCGAATAGGTTTATTACGGAAGGATAAAAAGTGAAAAACAGAAAACTGAAAAAGAAAGCATACCATCCAATACAACAAATGTATTTTTTTAATACATATATCACTCTAGGCCAGCGTTTCTCAACCTTTTTACCCCTGCGTAACCCTTAAAATAAACTACATGTCTTAAGGAACCCCTGCGCCAAAACAAAATTATATACCATATCTTTTTCATTTTATTTTCATCGTAGTTCACGTGATAAATATCATAGTATATATTTTTGAATAACTGGTTTAAGGAAAAATTAATACTTGTTTGTCAAATTTTTTGGTAATGCTAAATAAAATTCATATAGTTCGTCTATAATATTTCATCAGGGAGTTTTCATTCACGCACACACAAAAAAAAAAAAAAACTTAAAAAATAAATATAAGTAACCAATATCATATACCTATAATATAAATGTAAACACAACGAAAACAGATAATTGCTGCATCAGTTTTTTTTAATTTTTATATCCTTTATGTCTATATTACAATAATTACAATAACAAAGAATATGTTGTGTGTGTTTAGTAATATTATGTATATGAAATTAAATAAAAAGTCAAATGTGCATTAGCTTATCTCACCTGTTTTTGCGGAACCCTTGGGGACCTTTTGCGGAACCCTTGGGGACCTTTTGCGGAACCTTAGGATTACGGGAAACCCCGTTTGAGAAACGCTGCTCTAGGTTATAAGCGATCAAGACTCTCCGCAGATTCCATTTTCTTTATTATATGTGAATTGTTATGACTTTTTGGAAATGATAGTCTAATAGTTTCCCATTGCCTTCTTCAGGGTTTGGAATTTAGAGCAGTCTTTCTATATTGGCCGCCACACAAATCTAGAAAGTACAATCTACCTTAGTATCTAATCTATAGCTGGGGAGAAAAATGCATTTCCCAGCAATAGTTATTCCCAATAAGTGTACTGCAAAAATAAATAAATAAACCTAGACATAAATCAAAGGATACATTTAAAATAGAGATATTTTGAGGAAGAGTGTTCACTTAATACTTAATTGAAAAAAATCTAGGTGAAATGGCATTTTTTCTTTCTCATCCGCCTTTTTCTCTGATCAGAAGGTTTTGAGGAGCGTTGGACGATCTCTTAATTGCTGTTCTTCCCAGGTCTACCCTGACTCGGGGTGGTAGCACCTGTTAGGGTCCCAACGATGGGTAAATAGTTAATCCCCAAACTGGGGACAAAACACTATGAAAATATAAAAATAGGTCTTAATACCAGCAATAAATTCTTTGTGGAAAAATTATTACCAGCAATACATTTAAAAAAAAATTACCAGCAATAAAAATCTTGTCAGCATTAAATAACCCGTTGTGGTTGATATGCCGTAAAAGAAAACAAAACAAAACTCAGTCGCCTTTTGAGAAAACCTCTTAGAAGAATTTTCTCAGTGGGTACACGGAGTTGCTTCTGTGCAACATTCCTTCTCCATTTTT